TACTCACGAATACATTCACGGGCAGGTAAGCGTGCGGCGCCATCACAAACGCAAATCTGGAGAACAACACGTATGCTACAAAAGAAATTGTATTTTTCTCCAATGTTCACAGACATTGATGGACACACAGTCAAGCGCTAAAACTGCAAGGCAGTGGCTGGGCCGCCCGGCCTGAGGGCGACTTTTCTATCGATAAGCAGCGAAACTGGAGCTAGCTAGCATGTAGCCTCCCCCGCTAACGTCATCAGCAGACAATAAACCCACTACAGCAAAAAAAAAAGAAAAAGCTCAATCCGCCTCTTCAGGCATAAAATTAAACGAGATTGTCAGACTATGACAAATACATTGCTCTCCCTATATGTGCAAAACACACACACACAACGTTGGCCGGACGAAGACTGCCAACCTGACAAGTTTTACCGCTCATTTAAAATGAAACACAATGTTCTCAACATGTGTACGGGCGCCGCGTGACGACTACTCTTATTAGAATGCACTTATTCTAGAGATCTCTCACACCACACAAGAGCTGTTTGAAAAGTACCACTCAGTGTTCCTCTAATCCATTATTCCTCTGCGTCATATAAGTTTACCATCAATTTGTTGCTACGGCAGCGCGGTTGCGTAGAGACGGCCGCCGGGAGGAGGAGGCCCCCTGTTTCCGAGCTACCGGCTCTTGTAACAGTTCAGCGGGTTCGCCTCGGCGGTGCTGGAGGAGGAAAGGGAGCAGCGTGGAGCTGGGAGAGGAATGGGGGGGGGTTGTCAAGGGTAGAAACTAACGGTGGAAAGAAGGGAAGGCTGGGGAGGTGAGATAGGAGAGGATTTGTCGAGAGTTTAGCGGACGTGAGGAGAACTCCTGAGGGCCTCCGGCATGCGCACGCACGGCGCGCCCTCCTCTGTCGGCTCTCACTCATTCACTCAGCCTTCTCTGATCTGCTGTCTCTTGCGCATGCAGTGCACGCATCTCATTGACGCGTTGGTATCTCTCTAAGACAGCGTCTCCCTTTCTCTCCGGGGGGGGGGGGGGGTCTCACTTCTGCTGAGCGGGTGCAGAGTGCACACGGGTGTGAGGCGTCGAGGCCTCTGGGAGCTATCAGAAGGAGACAGGCCCTCCCTGATTGTCTCGCCTCGCTACAGATTGATATCAAGTCCGCCGGAGGACACATTGTGTATGTGAGCACCGACTGTTTGTAAAAACACGCACATCGGGGGTCGAGCGAGTTTGTGCGCGCGTTCACAAAAGCGACAGACCGCCTGTTAATTACTCAAACTAATAGAGCAGCTGCTGATTTCCCCCCCCCCGGTGTCGATCGGGTTCACAGCGCGACGTGGCGGCCCGGGCAGGACATGTGAAGCATTAAGACGGACGTTGGGACTGAGGCTAAGTGAGGTGAAGAGAAAAGGCACAAGACTGAAGTACTTCAAGGACCTCTGATGAGGACAAAACACAACGCTTTCAGGAAGTATTCAAGATGCTCTTGAGATTAAGTTAAGAAAGTTCCCACACAGGATACGTTCTGAGGGTGTTAAGAGGACTTTGAAGAACAACTCCCAAATGACTTTCTGTGTGTGTCGGTGTTTGTTCGTCATTAATCTCGCTTACTAGGAACCCAAACTTCCCGTAAACCCCCTTATTGTGGGGAGGAAGTTGGGGGGGGGGGGGGGGGGGAAGCAGGTACGAGCTGACGAGCTGCATTTAAAAAAGCACAGAAATATTCCACTGTTTTCATTATGCATTTATGAAATATATTTCACAAATTTAAACATTGGTCCTTGTAAAATACGAGACTGTGAAGCCATCTTCATTTAAATGTAAACCGTTGATGCTGTTGTTGCTCGTTTTGAAACCAACTCTAACGAGGACATTTGTTGTCGGCGGCGGCCCGTCGGGCCTGAATTAAGCGCTTTGCATAAACGCCGCGACATCACAGACTACACATCCAACTAAGGCGTCTGTCCTTCGGTTGTCTTGACAACCGTTCACCCTGTCACCTTGAGCGTGAGCTCCTGTGATCCGTGGGACAGATTCATTAGTAGTGCGTTATGTACACACTGCGTAGTGTACCGACAGGGACGACTACTGGAACAGACCCCCCCCCCCCCCCTGCAGCCTGTTGCAATGATTACATTCTTATACCTGACTGACAATCAACCACTTGAATTAGTCTGCGACAGTCATGTTCAAAGGGCTCTTAAGGGGGTAGAACTGGTTGATCATCTCAGCTACACAAGCACAAATGGGTTTTTGTCTGCTTGTTAACGTGTGGAAATAATTCCCTGTTCCTGAGGGTGCAATTTGAGACACTGGCACTAGAATACTTTTTGTACCACTTCGTATTCTTCTTTTTGGTGGTGTGGCCCTCTGGATATTCCAACTGAGACCTCACAGAGCTCTCGGCCTCCTTCCACTCTGCTCCTTTTCCCTGTTGAGTCTGCGTGAGGCTTTCTGTGGCCCCAGAAGGGGATTACTTCTCCGCCTGCTGCTCAAGGCAATGACTCTACCAACTGCTGCAGAGAAGCTCCCATTTTATTTCCCTCCTGCAGCTGAGGGGGGTCGTCACCCGCTGCCACGGGAGATCCGGAGGTCATTCTCTCTCTCTCCACCTGGATTTGCTCCCACTGAAATGCGGAGGTGCTCAGGCAGTGCGTGAAGGGAAGGATAGGATGTTTCTAGTGTCTTCAGGCAAGCATACTTCTCATGCTCAACAACATCTGACACCATGCACGCCATGAGAATCTTTACTAGCTGGGTTAATACTACGTTCACAATGCAAGACAAGCAGTTGAAGTCGGTCCACTCACCTGTAAACAGAGTGGAACCACATGGGAATTGTAAATGGAGGCACCAGGTAACGTTTCAGTGTATATGTGTGTGTGTGTGTGTGTGTGTAGGTGGTTTTTAGGACTCAGGGGAGACAAAAATCAATGAGGATCTAAGGCCATGAATGCAAAACAGAAGTGTCCAAATACTGCAAAGGATGACAGAAGGGGTCCCAGAATTGACCAGTCAGCGGATCTTTGTGCAGCATCTTTGCATGAATTGGTGGCAATTGTGGCATAAGCAATGTGAGCCACTTGCTCTTGGCAACAAAAGGTGCACTGCTGCTTGTGCAAGCGATGTGAACATGCTCTCACTATCAGACAAATCTTCCAAAAGTCCGATTTCAGTGAATTACTTAAGCGTACATTTCTACAATGCTTTTTTTCAAAATGCGAGAGCAGGAGAGAAGCTCCGGGCAGGTGATGGATGAGATGATAAAAGGACGCCAGAAATTCAGTATGGACGTGAAAAGTGGCATTAGGTGAAATATCCCCAAGTTAATTAAGGTCTATAGGCTTAATCCGTGAACTTGTGGCATGCAAATGCTCCGCTCACGTGCACAGGGACCCACTGATAACAGAGAGACTGTAAGAGCACAAAACACCTCATGCCGTCACTTTCAAGGCACGAGATTTGGAATGTGAGAAACACAAGTGGGGCGCAACTCAAGGAGGTGTTTCCGAGGAGGAGAGGCGATTCGTTAAAGCCCAGGAGAGGGCGCCTCTCGCTCGATGGGGCGCAGAAGAGCACAGCACATGCACACAGACATGGACACACACACACACATATACAGACGTAACGTCTTTAACCGTATTCGCCAGCAGGAGACACTCATCTTTCCGTGGTCGTTATTTTCTAAGCGTTTTCTTATCTTGCTCCTTGTTAGATTTGCAAGACATTTTTCCTATTTCTCGGAGCTCTTCCTTCCTCGGGCCAGGCAATAAATCGTTCAGCTGGTGTCTCTGAGGGATCCCGGGCCTCACACACACACACACACACACACTACTGAACTCACCGGCGAGCATCCCCAGTTTCGTGCGCTCTGTCCAGCACGTACAAATGCAACAGAGCCACGTCATCCAAATAGGGAGACGGAAGCAACGCTTGCTGAAAAATGGACACAATGCGGTCCTCCCTTCGGCCGGCACAGACAGATGTGTTGCCATGGAAACAGGATGCCAAGGTAGACGCTGTATGGGCGCCGGGGTTGTGCACAACTATGCCAGTGTGTGAGCGCGCCTCGCCGAAGTCGATTGGACTCAGGCGCTGTTTTGCGATGCGTGAATGGTGACATGGGAACTTTGCTAAAGTGTGCGTGTGAGGTTTGTTGAGTATTTAAGAGAGGCGCAATGTACTCGGTCTTCTTGATTGCACAATGTCAAAAATCATGAGTGAAGACTACAACTGGCTCTGGTTCCCGGGCCAGCGTCTGCTGGAATACCTCTGGAGGAGCGTGAAACCGCCCATGTTCATAAGGCTATTATGATGTTATTTTGTCCGCTATGTCGTAACATCTTGTACATCTCCACGTTCATTCGGCCCGTCGCGACTGAACATACAGCAGCTCGTCCTGCTGGGAAAGTTCCTCTTTGGCCGACAAGAGCGAGCCCGGCCCTCGCGGCACCCTTCGAGTAGAGTTGACCGGATTGAAATTTTAGCCCAGCTCTCGTTTGCAGAACTTTAATGCACAAAATAATTGCAAAACTGCTGAATTACCAATTTGTTGAGTTTCTTATCGACTTAAGCGCAGATCATCTCGCCTACACGCCCCATCAAACATTAATTTCACGCTGCGAGATGCCTCGCAGTTATCGGTTATAAGCCGGCACCTAAAAACTCGTGGCCGGTTTACAAGTCTCTCTTTATCCCCAAGGCTGCGGTTCCCTTGCTCTTCTCCTGGGATTGTTGTGCGGTTAGCTTTCTAATCATGCCTGAGAGAAAAAAGAACTGTCAGTTTGTAGAACCAAGTGCAAATGTAACCTCACATAATGGTTGGTCACCGAATAGTCAGGAGGGGGGTGTTTCACTGCATGAAGGGATGTAGATGCGTGCAGCCAGCAGACGAGGTACAGATCAGAGCTCAACCCCCCCCCCTTTGAAGGGTCCCTCCATCTCTGGTCTCTGCGCTGCGTGGGACCGGTGTGCTTACCGGAGAGGGGACATCTGCTTGGATCCTTACCTGTGTTCCTGTCTGGTAAGATACAGCAATGCTTCTTCAGTATGCCAGGCAACAACTTCCAAGAAACATCAAAGCAGGAGCGAGAGAGAGAGAGAGAAAAAAGAAAGGTAGAGGTTAATGTCGCAGCCGCTCGAGGCAGATAAACAAGGTGGCGCTGAGGGGAAAAGCACCGAGCCATGCTGCGTGCCGCAAGTCAGCGTAGCGAGACACGCCCATTTCTCACACCATTTGCATCAAACGGAGCGGCTCCCGTATTCACTCGCACCGCCAATCCGAGCGGTGGAGCACCAAGAGAAGGTGCCAGCTGATCATCTCTGATTCAAAACAGACACAGTCAAAGGCGGGTTGAAGGAAATTATCCACTGGGATGGAACGGCACAGAGATTATGAAGAATGTATATGCTGGATTGGAATGGGAAGAGGTGTGTCAATGTCACCGATCATTGGAAAACAATTTTAGAAGCTTCCTCTGCTGGAGGAACGTCAGCTCCGCTGTGCTTGGACGTCGTTGCAGCAAATACCTACAACTGGCAACATTTTACGATCACCATCATCCGTCTTCTGGTCGTCAGTTTCATGTCTTGTTCTCGGGGGAACGATGAAGACATATTCCTCTGCATAAGTCAAAACTAAGTATAAATACTAAGTATGTCATTTCAGGGTGAGATAGCGGTTTTCTTAAGGTATGCTGTGACTCTGAATAACGAAATTGGTGCTCACAAGGCAAATATGCAGAGAATCCACCAAAGAGAGGAACTCATAAAACGGGTTATCGGAGCCTCTTTGTCCTCGTCCCTGACTCACATGCTCATTATTGTCCAGGATGTCGGTTATGCGGACAGACCACCTCTCCTTTCTCTCTGCTGATCTCGTGATAGTATTAACATTCCTATACATTGGCACTTGGTGGTTATCTCAGGCTCCTATACTCCTCTCCAGGCACTGAACAAGAACGATCAGATAAGTGTCCCTTTTAATTAAGGAGACGGGCATTTGTATAAAGGTGCTTCTCGAAAATGGGGGAAAGAGCGGTGAAATAAATGAGAAATGAACTCTAACTGCTTGTCCCCGGTGGATATTCAAAGGGATATCAACCCACTGCATCATTCATAAAGCAGAAGGGCCTCAAGACGCCTGTCATCCCGTCTCATTTTCAACTTTATCAGCGTAAGAAAAGGAGACGCAACCCTGGATTAGTATATTAACACTTCCTTACATCTCCTTTATCCTGTGACTCCTGCGCTTTTTCAGCGTGATGTACACCACCTGTTCATAAGGCTTTGTGCTCCGTCCTGTGAGTGGCGAAGCTTCATTCTCAACAGCCTTGTGTCATTAGTGACACGGAATGAAATCAATCGCCGCGTCACTCACGGAGGACACAGACTGACGACGATATGGGAGGCAGCTCACGGGCAGTGACAATCACACAAGATATGAGATGTGGGTCCCTAAAATAAAAATAACAACAACGACAAGTAAGAGGACGTGAAAAGAAAAATAACTACGTCTTACACTCTCAATAACTCCCTCATGAAGGAGCTCCAACCCAGAGGGGGTCAGGGGTCAGCCCAATATGAGAAAAGGTCGACCCACAGCGGGCCAACTTTGTCCTGAAGGCAAAGACACCCAGGAGAAAAAGATAAACACTGAATTCAAGGACACATAAGTGAGGTAAAAAAAAAGGGGGGGGAGGGTACTCGCTTCCTGTCTGGAGACGATTTATTTACATTTAATCGTTCTTAAAAGATCAAACTTATTTTCAGATATAGTCCTTATTTTGTATTATTGCTATATAGTTTTACAACGTGATTGCAACTACTGTATGTATGAATTTCTATATTTTTATTTATTTATTAATCCTTCCTCCCTTTCTCTTTCTCCTCACGCAGTATGCGACTCCGCTCCTCACCAACAGATAAAAATATGTGTCGGGGCCTATTAAATACTGGGTGGGATTATCTGTCCCCAAAAAAAAAA